GGTAGTTGTAACCCAACATTCTCAGCGCACAGACGAGTACCTCATGGCCCAGTGATGGGGTGACCTGTCCGAGGCTACTGGGGCAGTCGGAACCAAGGCAGGTCTTCCTAGAACTCCCTCCACTGTTCCTCTCCGCCTTGGTCAGTCTGCCTGATGGACAGGTTATTCCTCACTGATGGCCCGCAGACTTCTAGGAAAGGTTGGAGCTCTCCCGGCCTCCCCATGAGACAGCACTGGGGTTGAGGCTGGAGGCTGTTTCAAGCCCTATCTCCTCCATCGACTGCACCAGCTCTGCAGCCCCACCTTCCTGCTTGCTTCTGCCCCGTGGTACCTCCAATAACCCTATTCTCACCACTTAGGCTCACGCCCCTTGGGCCCCTTGAGCGTGGCAGTTGAGTGTTGTTGGGGTTAGGAGCAGGGCCCAGGAGTCAGAGGGACCTGGATTCAAGTCCTGCTTCCCTATTTACTTGCCCTTTGATGTGTGACACACCAGGGTCATCCACTCACCAACGAATGCACTGAGTTCCCTCGCTGGGCATCTCAGGCACTGGAGGTGAGACCTGCGCTCCTAGGGACATCACATTCTACTCGGGGATGCCAGCCCCAGCACACCCACAGCCAACCCGGGAGGCACTTTCAGAGAGGGACACATGTTTTGAAAGAGATTTCTTCATCTGTTACAAACACAGCTAACAAAGCCTCTCCGTCTCAGGGGTTACCATGAGGCCCGGATGAGCTCAGTGTGCGGCGGGACCTCTAGCAGAGCGCCCAGCAGCCCCTGGGAGCTGTCTGCCATTGTTCAGGGGAGTGTCGCCAGAGAGCACATCCCACCCCCTGTCCCTTTCTCCCCTTTTTGGAAACAGCACTTGTTGTTCTCTCTTTCTGGAATGTACTCCCACACCCCCCCTTCCCCACTGCAGCAAACCAAAGGTCCTTTAACCATCAGCTGACACACCGGCCCTGCCTTCTCCCTAAGACCCTGCGGGGCCCCGGGGGCACTCCAGCGAGACCCAGAGAGGCTCTGGAAGGGCTTGGTGGTCTTGGTGTGTGCTGTGCCCTCGCCCAGGGCTCCCCTGTCCTTGACTCTCACCCTCCAGCTCTGACCTAGGAGGCGATCTCCCCGGCCCGCACTGTTATCTCGGAGCACCCCAGCCTTTCCCGCGCACAGCGGTCTCAGGTGGTGCTGTAGGTGTAGCTCGCTGTTGACGGTTCAGGCTGGCTCCCCACCCGCACTGGAAACCTGCTCAGGAAGTGTTTGCTCATGATCACGCCCACCCTCTCCCGGCATTCCTGCAGTGGCTCAGTCCTCCGCTCGGCCTCCTTGGCCAGCTCGTTTCCTTCGGCTGGGTCATTAGACCTTGGAGCGTCTCTGGGCTCCACAGAGCCTCTCCTCTCCAGTCACTCCCTGTCCCTAAGAGATGGCAAACATTGCCGGATGCCTTGATAACTCCCTTGTGTGCACCTTGAAGCCCTAAGGTCAACTCTGATTGCAGATCCGTATCTTCAGGGTCCTTGACATACTTCCCCAGGCATCCCAAGGCATGTCAAAGCCAGCACATCTCAGGCTGGGCCCGCAGTTGGGGGAACAGGGCTCCCCAACTCAGGGAGGACCAGTTCACCCAGCCAGCAAGGCAGGACATCGCCTTGGCGTCAGTGCTGGTGCCTCCCCACTCCCTCACTCCTGACATCACCACCATCAGGAGCTGCTGACCTCAACTGTAAGTAGCACTCAGCTCTACCAGTCTTCCCACAGCCACCCGCCAGTCTTTCCACCTGCACCAACAGGTGCCATCTGCACGCTCTCCCTGCCCTGACTCCCACTCTCGTGTGCTACTTCCAATGTGCTCTCCACACAGCAGCAGCCACCGTAGTATTTAGAAAGATCCGATCCTGTCACTCACTGTGCTAGAATAGACCAATTCCCTGCTGTGGCCCTGCACCTGGTTCCTTCTTGCTCTGCAGGCAATCCCTCCAGGGGCTCAGAAGTGGGGGCGGGGGGGGGGGGCGGAGAAGCAAGGCCACAGGGCCTGTGGCAGGGCTCTGGCAGGGTGGCCCTTGCTCTGGAGCCTGGGCTGGCCCAGGGCTGATCTGCTTCCAGCAACCCCTTTCCATAAAGCCAGGCTCTCCAGATAACCCTGTCTTTATTTATTTATTTATTTATTTATTTTGACAGGAAGAGTTAGAGAGAGACAGAGAGAAAGATCTTCCTTTTCCATTGGTTCACCCCCCAAATGGCCGCTACGGCTGGCGTGCTGTGCTGATCCGAAGCCAAGAGCCAGGTGCTTCCTCCTGGTCTCCCATGCAGGTGCAGGGCCCAAGGACTTGGGCCATCCTCCACCGCCTTCCCAGGCCACAGCAGAGAACTGGACTGGAAGAGGAGCAACCGGGACAGAAACCAGGACTAGAACCCAGGATGCTGGCGTTGCAGGCAGAGGATTAGCCTATTGAGCCGTGGCGCCAGCCTCAGATAACCCTGTCTTAGATTTGAGATGACCTAAATTTAATTACAAGGAGAGAAGCAGGGCAGAGATAAAAAAGGTGGTTAAGGTTGAAAGCTTGACTGAAATCCTATCGGCCCAGCTCCCTATTACTGCATCTGGGAAGGCAGTAGAAGACGGCCCAAGTGCTGGGGCCCCTGCCATCCACAGAGGAGACCTGGATGGAGTTCTAGGCTCCTGGCTCTGGCCTGATCCAGCTCCAGCCATTGTGGCCATGTGGGGAGTAGACCACTGGATGGGAGATCTCTCTATTTCCCTCTCTGTAATTCTGCCTTTCAAATAAATAAGTAAATCTTTAACAACAAAAGCAATGAATTCTTCTGTATGGCCCTCCTGTCCCAAAGCCCTCCTCTTCCCTCATGTAACCCCTGCCCCCACATCGACAGCCAAGGTAGACTCAGTATAAACAGCTTAGCCCTTCCTTCCCTAAACGTTCACTACAGAAAAATGGTCTCAGCCCAGTAAGTCCTTTTCTTTCAGCAGCCCTCCATCTCAAGGGTTGGCTTTGACATCATTCAACCAGCACGGGGTTAGCGGGGCCCTCAGTGACTCACGTTCCATCCCCAGCTCCAGTGAGGCATCTGAGGCCAACGCTGCCCACCCTAGGAGGCCTTCCCAGAAACAGAGCCCCACTGACAAACAGACCCCAGTACCTTTGCACTGCCTTGCTCCAAGCCTCTCCCTTCCCTCCTACAGCCCCCCTCAGCATGGCTGCTGGGCTCCCCCTCACCAGTAGAGTAGGGCTTGGCCCTGTGCCACAAAAATCCTCCCCACCTTGCTCCGAGTACAAATCACTGTTCTTTTTTTTTTTAAATTTTTTTTTTTGACAGGCAGAGTGGACAGTGAGAGAGAGAGACAGAGAGAAAGGTCGGACAGTGAGAGAGAGAAACAGAGAGAAAGGTCTTCCATTGCCTTGGTTCACCCTCCAATGGCCACCGCGGCCGGTGCACCGCACTGATCCGATGGCAGGAGCCAGGTACTTATCCTGGTCTCCCTTGGGGAGCAGGGCCCAAGCACCTGGGCCATCCTCCACTGCACTCCCTGGCCACAGCAGAGAGCTGGCCTGGAAGAGGGGCAACCGGGACAGAATCTGGCGCCCCGACTGGGACTAGAACCCGGTGTGCTGGTGCCGCAAGGCGGAGCATTAGCCTAGTGAGCCACGGCGCTGGCCAGCAAATCACTGTGCTTAAGCTGTCCAGGGCGACCCGGTGGGGCCGTGCTGCCCCTCTGCTCTCAGTTCCCCACCTTCACTCCTCCTCTCTGCCCGCCTGCCCTGGCCGTGCAGCAGGCCCACTTCTCCACCCTCCCCACTGCAATGAGAACTTCACCAAGGTGCTGGGACCCAGCGAACGGCGCCCCCACCCCCAGAGTAGCACCTTGTGGCCCACTGAGCAGTACAATCAAAAGGAAACTGAAGGCATTAGAGGCGGGCTCAGAATCGGGGTCCCCCTAAGGCCATGAAGCTTCTGGCCGCCCAGGCACAGGCTGCATCGCTCTGGAGAATTGTCTTTGTTACAGGGGACTGCAGATGACCCACCTGGAGGGACTCCTGGGGCTGGTTCAAATTCCAGTGGTTATCTTGGTATGAGCTAATCTGTTTCCTGCACCAGCCACTCTCCCCAGGCATCTTGCACAAGCCCTCAACATTGTCTCCATTCCCTGTCTCCTCCTCCCCTATGGAAAAGGAGGGGACAGAAGCTTGTGGACGGTGCGGGTGCGGGGACACCACCTGGGCTGTGGCCTGGGCACGGCCTTTCTCCTGCTTGGACTGTCTTTGTTTATCCCAGCAAAGTTGTGCGGGTGGAGGAGAGATTTCCATTCGTCCCTGCTCTGGGAACACAAACAGGAAAGCTGTGCCTGGTGGCATAGGGACTTGCAACTAAAAGTCATCTCTTCCTGCCCTTAGCAGTGGCCCTGACTGGCTAAGAGCAGGGCTTTCCTAGAAGGGCCCCCGAGGGGTCTCTCACCACGCAGGTGCCACGTTCTTTGGGTGAGGTTGCTTGGGGCTTCTCTGTGTAACCCTGCCCCTCTCATGGCCTTTCTGTTTCGACACTGGGAGCTGTTCCTGCAGCCAGCGACACCTTCCCAGGGCTGACATTAGCCGCTGAACTTCAACCAGGCTAGGACTCGCTGGGGAGGAGCAGGCGAGAGTGGGCAAGGCAGGTGCTGAACCTTGAGAGAACGTGGGGCTTCGGCAGTGACGGCTGCCCAGGGCCCATCAGGGCTTCCCAGGGCTGCCTGCTCCTGCTCTCCCACCTCTCCACCTGCATCAGAGCGAGCAGAGCTGGAAATCTGTTCCCAGCGAGACAGATTTTCCGGCGTCACGTACACATTCGTCAGGGATGGGCTGAAAAGTACGCCCTTGGTGAGCCAGGACGGCCTGGCTCCCAGGCAAGCCTGGAGAAGCAGCAGCTCACTCCGCTGTGCCCCGCTGTAGCCCATCCCACATGAAGCCACTGAGACAAGCCACAAAGAAGCTAATTAGAAGAGCTGCCAAAATACCCATTTTCCCTCTTTTCCCGTTGGCTCCTTTTTCTCCTTTTGGGCCCTGGGGGCCAGGCTGTCCATCAGATCCGTTGTGCCCTGGTAAGCCACCGATTCCCGGAGGTCCTGCAGCAAGACACGGGACAGGAACATTTTAGAAACATCCGCACCTGTGCCTTTTCTGCACCCTCTTCTGCATCTTCCCTCCTTCTCTGGAAGCAGAGATGGGGATGGGATGGTGATGACAGGCTCTCAAGTGAGAGGAGCCGAGAGAGAGAAAAGGACGTAGCCAGGGCTGCCAACACACCCCTCCTCTCTTCCTCCCCTTCCCCTGTCCCTGCAGTGGAATCCTAGGGACCCAGCCACCTAAAGCCTCCCCTTGAAGTAGGAAAGTCCAGGGGCTCTTACCTGGGGGGCCGGGAGGTCCTACAACAGAAAAAGAAATGCAGATGATAAACCACAGCGGAATAGAGAAGCCAGCACCGCAGCCACCGAAGAGCACCCTCCCCCTTCCGAATGCCCCAGTCACCCGCTGACCCTGAGAAACCGATCCCGGGCCTTTTATCTAGAACTCATTATATCAGCCCCAAAGACCCTGAACAACAAACTGGCAGAGACTCATATGCCAAGCAAACCACTTTGGCGTTAGCTTCAATGCACCGAGAATAGCTACTGAGCTGGCTTCACCATAGATGCATCTATTAATCATCTCTCGAGCCATCAATCTAATCAGTGCCAATGAATGCAAGACAAGGCCCTGGTGCAGCCCGGGCACAGGGGTGTCAGCCCAGGACAGTGCTGTCCAGCCCGCTGAGGGGAACTGTTGATGCTGGCTCGGGGAATCTCTGCTGTTGCTTGAAGCAGCCAAGGAAAGCTGCGAGCTCAGGTCGGGTAACAGATACCTCCCCTTAGTGGGTCAGTCCCCGGGAAGCTAAGAGGATAGATGAATCATTTACAGACAGCCTAGCAAAAGGACTGTGCTTCTGCAGAGGCGTGTCCTACTGTGGACCATTCTGCTTGAGCACTCAGACAAGTTAACGAGATTGTAACCTGAGCAACTGAGTTTCTTCCATTTCTCCAGCCCACAGCCTGGCTCCCTGAGCCCCTGGCGGAAGCAGAACTATCTAGAAGATTCACCCAAACTCCATTGCACTTAGTGGAATGAGAGATAAGCGTTCGCTGGGTGAGGCCACTGAGGTTTTGTGGTTTGGTCGGCACCAAAGTTTGGCCTAACTCATCTTGACAGATACTCCCTCTAACAATAATGTTTAATACCTTTTCCCTGCCCCTCCCCCACACCCTGGCTTTTCTTCTCAAGTAAGCTCTAGTGGGCTTCTACTACTAGCAGCCAGAAGAGTCTTAATTCAGATAGGAAATACAGGCTCCGCAGCTGTGGGGTGGAAGTGATAGAGACAAGCATGAGGGCACTGGCCAGTGGCCAACGTAGCAGGCCCCTGAGCACCGGGCTCTTCCCACAGTGGCCATGCAGAATCAAGGGGAAGCGACTCACCCCCGAGGACCTCCAGTCTCCCCCCTCTCTCCCCCGGAGCCTCCCTTGTGACCCACGGATGCTGTTGAATGGGCACTCTCGAAACCAAGGCACCTGCTTAGCCCAGCAGCGACCAGGGAGGCAGAGGCTACGCATTTCCCAAATTCTTCTGATGGAAGAAACGAGGAAGCCAAACCAAGCCAAATGCGACACTTGGGAAAGCCAGGCCTGGCTCTGCTGTCTTAGACTGAGCTAGCGAACGATGCAGCTCCATAAACTCGAGGCTGCCAGTCTGGAGGTCTGGTCCTGACTCTTCTTCTCCCCCTCCTCCTCCTCCTCCCCCCTAGCCAGGACTTGGCCTTCACGCCAACACCAGCTTCAGGGCTAGACAGGGGCTCAGGCCCAAAGGCGCGTGGTGCCCCCTCCTTTCCTACGAGAGTTAGGCGTGCTCTGTAAGATGACCTGAGCAGCTCTCACGCTTGGAGGCTGATTCTCCCAACACTAAAGCAATCAGCTAGCTTTGGTGGGTGCCTTTAGCTGAGCAGAAACACAATCAGCCCCCAGAGCGGTTTCTACGTGTGGCCGCCGTGTTTATTTCCCAGTGTCGCACTGGCTGCAGCTTTGTGGCCTCAGCCCTACCCCCTGTGCACTGGTACACCTGGCACAGGGCCAACCACCAGCTGTTGGGCTAGTGGCAGGCACCTGACTTGGAAAGGCATCTTTGCTCACACATCCCCAGTACACTGCAGCTTCAGCTCAGTCCCATTCACTGGGGGATTTCAACTTCAAACAATAACCATGGGAGCCTTAAGAAATGACAAAAGGGGTGGCAGACAGGTTTTCTTTCAGGTGCCCACTCCAAGCAATGAGTCATGGCTTTCTGGAAGACTAGAGAAGAATGCCACGAGGCCAGGCTCCGCAGTAACTGGGATCCACATGAAGTTGGCCTGTGCAGGGTGTTAGGAAACTGGTGCAGTTTTAGCCAGGTGGCCGGCCACAAGGCCCAGCTACCTGAGCCAGGCTCCACCCCCATCCTAATGGGATTCGCTGCTCCTGCTTCCCTGGCAGCCCTCAGGCAAAGTTTTAAAAGGGCCTGTTCCTGAACATGTGCTATCTTGGTCCTTCTCTCCTGCACTCTCTTGGCTCCTCTCCTCCTCTTGTCTCTCTTCTCCCTCTCTGTCTCTCTCTCTTACAGTCTCCTTCTCTCTTTTTCCTTCACCGCCCCTTCACTCCAGTCTGTAAGGTGTTCCCCAATAAACCCTTTCCCTTACTCCGGTGTCTGGTGTGTTTTGCGATGGCTAACATTAATATATAACACAGGGGGTGTGGGGGGTGTTGACAAAGTGCCATCCCTGGGCTGGGGGCACTTGGCCGTGAGGACCTGAAGTGCCTTGGCCCTAACATACATGTTCAGCCAGTGCTGTTTAGACATTTTCCATCAGGGACAGGAATGGAATTTTGCTGGCATAGCTGGAGTAGCCTTAAGTTACACACTCTTTTACACTCAAGTTACATGCATCTGAACCCAGCATAAAGCTACGTCTTGCTTTAGGGCACCAGCCCCCAGGCAACCTGCCTTTCAGCACCCTCTTGGGCCCCAGCCAAGACCCTCTGCCCAAAGCAGCCCAGTGCAATCCGGGCTCCCTGGCTCCAGGGCTTCGTAACTCATACTTTTCACACCTAAGTTTTAATCGAAGAGCTTTTTGTGCAAAAGGAGACCTAATTTCAAGGGAGAAAGTGCTGGCTTTTGACAAGCATTTGCAGGTGCCGAAGAATCACCTACTCAACCCATTTCCAGCGCGGAGGGGACCCGCGCTCCCCATCGCTCTCCTCTAAGTGGTCTCGATGGCTCTCAGGGCTGTCACTATAAAACTCAGAAAGGAAGATGCTTTTCCTGTGCCTCTCGACAAGGCTTTTGTGCCTGCAATTCCATCCATTTTAGCATTTCTCTAGCACTCCTCGCTGTCACACGTGGGGACTCTGAAAGGGGACTTCCACAGATGGAAGAAAGGTGCTTAAGTCTCAAGGGTTTCAGAATAAAGGACCGAGCTGTTCTGAAGATATTGAATTTCCCGTGAGGGCCCAAGTGTGACTTGAGTAATGCAATTAGCATTTCCCAAGAAGCCACAGGATCCATTTCTCCTCTCCAGGGTCAAAATAAGCGAATGGGAGTCAGACTTGGATTTGGGCTTCCTGAGACAAGTTTCTCTCAGCGGCTGACCACAGGAACCACTGGCTTCTGCATGCAACAAATTCGTGGAGTGAGTTACCCTCGTAACTCGCCCTCAGGCATGACGGGAACCGGGAGACAGCAGATGGCAAGGGGCTAGGCTTTTCACACCCCATATGCACTGGACCCGGTTGCTCCTTGGGGGAGGAGGGCCCAGAACTGCCCCAGACCCTGTGGCCGTACCACCTGGGCCCCACAAACTTGGGCCCCACAAACTTCCAGTGGCTTCATAGTCTCGTGATCTTTTGAAGTGTGAGCCCAGCGGGCTGTTCTTAGGAGAAAATAAGTTTCTCATTTCTTCAGGGTGTTCCATGCCCTTTGGAGAGGCAGGAAAGGCAGTGCCCCCAATCCACCCCAAAGGACTGTCCTCCGCCTGGCCAGAGCCTTCTCTGGCGTGGGGGACAACGAGGGCTGTTCTGGGCTCTCACTTCCGGAGGCGGGAGGCAAATGGCGCTCCTCTCAGGTATAGAACGCCATCTCTTCCTTTTCCCATCTGTCAGCCATCAGCCCTTCCTGGTCCCCAGGGCCTGACATGTCTGCTAGCTGGATCCTGGATTCACCGAGTGCAACCTCCAGTTGCGCCAAGGGATCCAACCTCCAGCCCCAATGAGCTCGCAGATGTTCAAGCTATATGTGAGGGTACTTCAGAAAGCTCATAGAATAATGCAATTCAAAGATAAGTTTGGGGCCAGTGCTGTGGTATAGTGGGTTAAGTTGCCGATCACAATGCCAGCATCCCATATTGGAGTTCTGGTTTGAGTCCAGCTGCACCATTTCTGATCCAGCTCCCTGCTTTCTGCCTGGGAAAGCAGCAGAGGATGGCACAAGTACTTGGGACCCTGTCACCCACACAGGAGACCAGGATGGAGTTCCTGGCTCCGGGCTTTGTCTTGACCCAGCCCTGGCTGTTGCAGCCATTTGGGGAGTGAACCAGCAGATGCAAAATCTGTCTATCACTCTGATTTTCAAATACATACATACATACCTATACATATGTATTTAAAAAGATAATTTTATTTTTATGCAATTTTTTTGAAATTCATGCATAACTTTTTATAATATACATTTTCTTGAACTTTTTGAAAATCCTTCATATGAATGAATTTCAAATTTTTGTGCACCAATATAAACATTTTTTTCAATTCTACCTTCCACGAACTTTTTGAAGCCCCCTCTCCTATGCTATAGGGACATACTTGCTTCTTATCAAAGAACTCTATCACTTAGCAAGGGCCCTTTCTCCTTTTCCCTTTTTAAAGCCAATGGGGATAAGAAAGACACCAGGTTCAAAGTACCCCACTTTGCTAATCACCCAGGTCCTCGTTATCTTCCATGGCCATATTTCCATGGGAATCCTGAAGACTTAATTTTTCCTCATTATATTACAATTGCTTTTCAGCATGTTCAAGACATGTGGTGAAAGCAGACAAACATGCATGTTCATAACACACAGGGTCCCCGGGTGCACACCCTGCCACGGTCCCCTTGGCCAGCACACGCATGTGCTGTGGGTGGCCCTGGCTCGGTGGTCGGCCAGCCTACCTGTGAGGCAGATGCCCTTGGTGCTGTTGCACAGGTCCACCATCACTCGCACCTGCAGGGATGAGAGCGGGTTAACAGCAGACAGTGAGAAAGCAGTCACCGAAGTCCACCATGGAACAGGAGGGTTTACAGGAGTCACAGGGAGTCTGAGGACAACCTTCCAACCACAGCAGAAAGAAGCCCTTGGAGATGGCAGGGGGTTTGGGATCAGCAGTTCACCCATCAGAGGCATCAACACCACTGCCCTGACTCCCCTCAAGTTCGGAGAACAGAGAGGGTGGTGAGAGCACCAGCAAATTCAATTCCCAGTACTGCAATGAGCCAGCTCCCCAGCATCTGAAGGTTCAATCTGCTGGCCTCAGGAAAGAGATGGAGGTGAGCCCAGGGGTCAGGAGCAAATGCAGACTAACCAGGTGGCCGCAGGAACTCTGGTTTCCTGCTCAGAAAATGGAAATGATCTAAGCCAGGTCAGTCCCTAGCACCTGGAAACTGTCCCTAGTGGAGTGGATGCTGCAGTGTGGTCAACAGGCCCCACACGTGGCACCCCACACCCATGCTCCACACTGCTCCCATGAGCTTCACCAAACCAGATCTGATCGCTTCAAATCCGTAGGCTGATAGGGAAAGATCTTTTCATAACATAACATAAACAATAACAACAACAAAGCGAAGTATAGAGCAGCATGAATAACACGCTTTCTTTCTTGTAGAATAGAGGTACACCCACAAATGCTTCTAGAAGCTTCTCTCTTGCTACTTTTAAGACACTCTCTCTGTGCTTTGCTTCCTGGCATATTTCTGAGAAAACTAAGCGAACTCCAGTGAGGAGTGTGGAGGGCCACGGTGGAAGGGGCCGCACTGAGCGCCATGTGCCCTTTGTCCTCATGAAATGTTCACTGATTACTCTTTCAGTTGGACCAGGTGGAAAAGAATGAGCTTTGATTTGAGAAAGCGGAATGTCTCTTCTATCGTGGTTCATTTCATTTGCCAGGAGATCCAGGAAAATGCATCCATTTCTGTCAAGAATAAGCAGGTACCTACTGCTGCTTCTTTATATGTGAAATACGTCATATACCCCATAAATGTACAAAATGTGTAAAACAGTTTAAAACTGAGCAGCAGAACAAACACATACAGTTGTCTCTCTGTATCAGGTACCACATCTGTGGATTCAACCAGCAGAGGAATGGAAAATATCCAAAAAATGCAAGTGTACTAAACTTGTACAGATTTTTTTTTGTCCAGCCATTATTCCCTAAACAAAACAGTGTAGCAATGATTCACACAGCACTTACATTGTATTAAGTATTATAAGTCATCTCAAATGATGTTAAGCATACCAGAAGACATGTGTAGGTTATATGCAAATACTATACTGTTTTTTTCTTGTTAACTATCTATTTATTTGAAAGGCAGAGTTAGAGAGAGAGGAGGAGACAGAGAGAGATCTTCCATCCGCTAGATCACTCCCCAAATGGCCACAATAGCCAGGAGCCAGGAGCCAGGAGCCAGGAGCCAGGAGCCAGGAGCCAGGTCTCCCACACGGGTGCAGGAGTCCAAGTGCTTGGGCCATCTTCTGCTGCTTTCCCAGGCACATTAGCAGGGAGCTGGATCAGAACTGGAGCAGCCAGGACTTGAACCAGCATCCACATGAGATGCCGGTGCTGCAGGCATAGCTTAACCCGGTGTGCCGCAGCGCCAGCCCCTATATTGTTCTTTATAAAGGATTTGCACATCTTCAGATGTTGTTATGCTCAGCAGGTTCCTAAACCAAGGCCCTGCAGGTGTGAAGGGACTGCCCAGCACCCAAGCTTAAGAACTGGCAACACACCAGCGCCTCGCAAGCTTCCTCCCGCCCACCCCTGACAACTCTCTGAGCAGCATTCTTGCTTTCACACAGGTAAGAAACCCCAGGCTTGGGGAGGTGAGGCTGAAGACTCCAAGTCCCACAGCTGGCTCCAGAAGAGCCACGCTCCAGGACACCTGCTTCCAGGTCCACCGTACCTTCTGTTACGTCTCTGATGAGCATCTCAATGTAACGAGGCAGAAGAAATTTTGATTCATTGTTTTTAGGCATTTTCAGAAGTGAATGTAATCAGCAGCTCTACGGACAAAATTTATTGTCTTAAAGATGTATAATTGCCCATTGAGAAGATCAGAAAAGACTCCACAATGCTTCGTTTGTTGCCTGGGGAATCACAGCACAAGGGGTTAGTTGGAAACAGCAGGTGCATCAATAGGGAAAATGAGCCTTTCTCTCTGATGCTCATCACGCCCCGGCCAGGCACAGCTAACAGCCATGAAGAAGGAGTCTGCATTTCCTGACCTTTTGGCTTCACTTAAATGCTAAGAGTCAGCTTAGATATCTACCAGAAAATGGGAATATTTCTTTAACAAACGCAGGCTACATAAGAGAGGGAAAACACAGTATGAAAAGGATGAGACAAAAAGGCAGAAACTACTCTCCTTCTCTCTGTGTATCACTCTGCCTTTCAAATAAATCTTTGAATGGATGAAAATAAGAAAATTAAAAATTAGGGCCAACGCCATGGCACAGTAGGTTAATCTACCTGTGGCACCGGCATGCCATATGGGCACCAGTTCTAGTCCCAGCTGTTCTCTTCTGATCCAGCTCTCTGCTGTGGCCCAGGAAGGCAGTGGAGGATGGCCCAAGTGCTTGGGCCCTGCACGCGCATGGGAGACCAGGAGGAAGCACCTGGCTCCTGGCTTCAGATTGGCGCGGCGCCAGCTGTAGCAGCCATTTGGGGAGTGACCCAATAGAAGGAAGATCTTTCTCTCTGTCTCTTCCTCTCACTGTCTGTAACTCTACCTCTCAAATAAATAAATAATAACTCTTTAAAAAAAGAAAATTAAAAATTAAAAATCACAAAATCTACATGGTCAGATTCAGGAGTCATGATTGGCTGACAGGGCTCCCTAGATCTTTATTTGAGGTTTGAGGACATTTGAGCTGGAAGAGGCCTTCAAGGTCACTGCCCTGGAGTATTTGTTTGATCCAGCCCAGAACAGCCTGCCTGCCTCTCCACTCCCCCACCCCCCCACCCCCAGATTTATTTATTTGACAGGCACAGTTACAGAGAGAAAGAGACACAGAGAGAGAGGTCTTCTGTCTGCTGGGTCACTCCCCAGATGGTTACAACAGCCAGGGCTGGGGCAGGTCAAAGTCAGAAGCCTGGAACTCCATCTGGTTTCCCACATGGGTTGCAGAGGCCCGAGTACTTGGTTCATCATCTGCTGCTCTCCCAGACACATTAGCAGGGAGCTGGATTAGAAGTGGAGCAGCTGGGACTCTAACCGGTGCCCACACGGGTTGTCAGCGTTGCAGGCTGCAGCTTTGCCTGTCATGCCACAATGCCAGCCTCATGGATAGCCTTTTGCGGAGGCTGTGTCTCAACATTCTTCCCCTGTGTCTCTGCTCCAGTCATACAGGCCTCCATCATGTGTCATGCCGGGTCCCTCCACCTTCATCTGGTTGGATCAGTGAGGCCTCAAGTCTCGCTTTCTCTGAATACCCACCAAAAGGAACCCACGCAGTCGCTCCATCACCTCACCTGGCATTTGTCTTGGCAGCACCCGTTACGCTCCAATATTGCCTGCTTGTGCTTGCATTTATTACCTGCCACTGCTCTCCAGAGAACTGGAGCATTCTGAGAGCAGGACGACTCGCCCTGTGTCCAGGACAGAGGACAGTGACTGGGCCGGGCCTAGGGCTTCCACTGGGGAGAAACTGATCAAGCGGGAAAGGACCTCTGTGTTCTTTAAGGGAGGACCTGCCTTGAGATGGGTGACAACCAGGTGCTCCCTGGGCTTATGGAACCAGACTCCGACCGTGTTGTGAAGGAACGCGGGAGGCAGTGGGAAAGGCCTGGGGGAGTGGTGAGAGACTCCTCCCTATCCAGCCACTCTAACCTGGAGGACCCGCTGTGTGGGAACAACAGCTGTAACCCAGAATATAAGGCAAAGGACAGTGCCCTCCAGGCTCAGGCTTATTGCCCCAGTGGCCATGAGCATTGCTAGGAGGTGAATTTACCTCAAGAAGAAACAGTGTGGCCAGGACGTCCCCCATCGGATGAAAAGATCAGCGCAGCCATGGATGAGGACACATTGCACTGTGCAGGGACTTACTTTCAGCACTGATAATTTTGGGGGGCTCAGAAGCCAATACCCCAAAGTGAGGGCCCCAGGAGCAAAGTTCTCCTTGTCCCTCTCCTGTCCTCTGGCTTCCTGCTCTCTTCTCTATGCACCCACACCCCAAGGCAAGGCATAGGAACCAGAGTTTCCCTTCCCAAAGGGGTCACGGGCACTAAAACCCCTTTTTTCCCCAAAGCAAGCCTTAAAGCCTGAACATACTATTCCGATCCTCCGCTGCCTTTCTGTCTTTAGCTGGCCATAACGAAATTCTCTGACCTACCTTGTTTGATGGTGGATCTTAAGATCCTCATTTCAGGTGTCGGCAGTGTGGCTTAGTAGGCTAAGCCTCCACCTGCAGCGCAGGCATCCCCTGTGGGTGCCAGTTCAAGTCCCGGCTGCTCCTCTTCGAACCCAGCTCTCTGCTATGGAAGCAGTGGAAGATGATCCAAGTCCTTGGGCCCTTGCACCCCCATGAGAGACCTGGAAGAAGCTCCTGGCTCCTAGCTTTGGATCGACTAAACTCTAGTCATTACAGCCATCTGGGGAGTGAGCCAGTGGATAGAAGACCTCTCTGTCTCTCCCTCTCACTAAATGTAACTCTGCCTCTCAAATAAGTAAGTAAAATCTTTTTAAAAAATCCTCATCTCAGAAAGGCTCTTGCTCTGTACATGGCAGGGAAGGATGCTGTGCAGATGAGCCCAGAAGAATCAGGACCGGCAGGCCCTGCTGCATTTCCCTACTTGGTCACACCCTTTTTGCTCAATGGTTGCCCATTCTTCATAAAATGGCTGGCTGGCCCTGAGACTCGAGGTCTTCCATCCAAAGGCCCGGAGCCCACGCTTGTTACGCTCTTCTGTTGCAGTCTTGTCTTCTGAGGTAGGGATATCGGCTATGGCTCTC